TCATACAACAGGACTGAACTAACAGCAGTGATTTAAGCTTTAAACATATCAAAGGTAAGCAAAGTACATACGAAGCAGCAGGTATGTATAGCTCAGAACAAAAGCAAAGAAGAAAAATACATGTATTAACACTGGAAACCCTACCGGTGTGTGCAGCCCTCGCTGTGGGCCTCAGAAAGGAGAGAGATTTCTTTGAATATCTGCATTACTGTCTCTGATTGGACTATGCCATGTACTGTGCTGAAGTAGCTGTGTTGCAACCAGCATCTGAAATAGCTAGATAAAACTAGTTCTGGTGTGTCAACAGCATGCTGCAAGCACATCCCTTGTTACAGGAGAGGGGCTGGCTGAAAAGAGAGGACAAGCTCTTAATATTTACAGAAAGCTTATTTGCCATATCAAGAGTAAGTTGCTTGACAGTAATAGAGAAAACAGTCATCAAAGGTGGACTCAGCAACTCGTATACTTGTTAATGAGCACTAATAGCAAATCAGATTACATCAGAGGGATTGCAGCACCTGCAGAAACTGCCAGACATTTCCACAGCCCCATACCAGATCAGAGTACGCTGCGAGAGCAAAGAGGAGGGATCAGCCAGAAATGTAGACTGCCTTGGCTAGAAAACACAAAGCATCTTCCAAAGTTTCCATGCAAACACATCTCAGACACCTGTGGTTCAGCACAGCTGCATACATTTTACCAAAACATTGACTGTTCAGGGCACGTGGATTAATGTACCGCTTTTTAAAGCAGCTGTTTAACACGCCATGAACCCTCCCAAGCAACCTTTCAGCCACCCCGCGTTTATTCACGCAACATGACGGTGCACAGACCCCGCGAAGGGCAGCCACGTGCTTCGTCGTTTCGTGTCCACAGTCTCTAAATGGGTGTTTGTTGCCTGAATGTCCTGGTGACTGATACCTCACTGAAGGCTCGGCAGAAATGAATCTTTCTTTGCTCTCTTTGCCCTGCTCCTCCAGCTAAGACCATGAAGTCAAGAGGCTCAGCCTGAAACACTCCCAGGCTTCGAGCTCCCTCTGCAGTATTTTGCAAGAAATCCTCTTGCCTCGAGAAACCTCTGAATTATTTGGTTAGGAACTGGATCATTCACAGCACTTAAATTTCTGGGAAACTTCCACTGAAATCTGAGCTGGCCTAATAAATCATTTCTATTAAGTTTTATTCTGATGTGGAGCGGTTATGATCTGTTGACCTTGGCAAATACTTTCTTTGCTAAAGCCCCGTGAACTGCTTTCAAAGGAAATAACTGGAGGAAAGCAAGTTGCTTGGGTATTTTCATCTGTGAATGTGTCAAAGTACAGTTAACGGGTCAGATTCAGACATAATAAAAGGGACTACTAAATCACTATGCCAGGCATTAGGAGTAAGTTTAAAAGCATTTAAGCGATGATTTATATCTTAATTAAATGATGATTTGTATCTTTTAGTTCCAGATTTAGACTCCCTTAGAATTACACTGATGTATGCAATCGCTTTCACGCCTCCTTGTACATTGGTGCTGAATCTGGCCGCTAAGTTCCTAAGAACCTATTAAAATCTCAGCTGATGTTGCTTTCAATTGCATGGCAAGGGATAGAGACTAAAGGTATAAATTATGCTGATTTAGACTTCCTTCACATAGACTTGCCTTTGAATTCAGCCAGCTGCCATCACCAGGCACAAACTATGCACCATGTGCTTTGGTTCCTCCTGTTCTGTAGAGTCATCTTCCCTGGCAAAATTAAAATGAGATTTTTATTTAACTGGATGTTATACTACTTATATTGTTACTAGGGCTTACATCTGCTTTCTAAATTAATCCACACGCTGCAAATATATTTCTCCTTGGCACTACACTACCCTTTTTATTAATCTTCTTTCTTTCAGTTTGAAGCACATTCAGGGCTGCAGAAAGAAAATGCATCTCTCAACTCAGGCGCATCTCATCCCAGCTCAAATTCTTAGTGTCAATTCCCCTCGCCACTTACTTTACCATGAAACCCTGCAACAGGTTAATTTCCTCCAATTTGCAGCATTTAGGGACTACACAAAAATCTCTTTTAAACAGGTTTAATATTTCATCTGAAAGACTGGGAGTAATATGTACGTTAGCTGCTTTATAAAGTTGGCATGATTAGATGACGTCATTTTTCCTGGATAAGGAATAT